TCTCAAGTCCTCCACACTGACTCTTCACCTGTTAAGCTGGGGTAACAGAGAGGAGCATCTCATACAGGCATGGGGATGTGGGCTGCTCTGTCCACACAAGAACCTGTTTCTCAAGGTGTTGACCTCCAGTTCAGTCTGCAATGGTCCTCTCTGCTGCCTGTGCCTCCACTGGCTCCAGCCTGGCCTGTCACTGGAGAACAAAACCCATCCAGTACCCATTTTAGGGCTTTATACTGCTGCACATCACTGTAGTACCTTCCACATAAGAACAACAGGAATTACAAAGTCCACCACAGTAGGAATATTCCTCTGTATTCCCGTAGGAATCATCACAACTGTCTCCTGAAACAATACAGCTCTGCACAGCAAGCTCAGCTCCATGTAAGGAACAGAGAAAAGGCAGCACTTTCTAGGAGTTAATTGATGGGCACCTCAATATGAAACGACAGCTCCTTCCAACCCCCTCAAACACTCATGGTGGGCAATAGAGTCTGCTCAGCAGAGCCTGGGAACCCCAAGGTTGTGCTGCTCTCCTGGCTCTCCTCATCATGCTCTGCTAAATGACTCCTTAAAGGAAGGAAAAAGAGGCATTTTACCCAACTCTCAGTGAGACATGACCACAAAGGACCTGATTCTCCTCTACCACGCGCTTGTTCTGACTACATCCACCAGTGCAAAGAGAGGAAGAGGATCTAGGACATCCCCACGTCAGAACGATACCAGCACCACACCACAACATTCTTCCTTTTTCTTCAGGAGCAATTGCTACATCAACATGTTAAAAAAAAAAAAAAAAAAAAAAAAGGAGTTTAATGTAGGTGGCATGTTTCATACAGGATTTAACAGGCACCCAAAACACCAGCTGGTATCATGTTCTGAAGAGTTAACAAGGTGAAACTCCAGCACTTCAGTTGTGTTTAGACATTCACAGGCTGAACAACAGGGCAAGGCAGCTCCCACCACACGTACCATCATCCCTGGTCTCACTCTGCAACACAGGCAAAGCCTCCCTGGCTCCCACACACCTGGAAAACTCTGGAGCAAGCAGAACTCACAGGGGAAGTTCTACAAAGGAGTTGGCATGGGTCTGGGGTGGACACTCTCCCAGATCAGTATTTCTAGTATTTTTCCTAATTAATCCTGAGGACATTTTTAAGCCAGTATGTATAACAGCAATAGTAAAAGTCCAAACATGAAAAGAACAAAATAAAAATCCAGGGAACAAACCAGCTGCTCTCACTGTTCAGGATGGAATCAGCATGAAAGAATACTGAGATGAAAATTCCAACATTTTAGAGTTATAGCCATCTACAGAGGAAGAATGGAAGACAACGCATTTTGGAGTCTAATCCATCCCTCCCAGCACCAATGAATTTGGAAAAAGTAAAAAATCCAAAAGCATATGAAAGTTCCCAATGGGGCAGAGTCACAAATGCCTGTTCAACATGGAGTATTTGTGGCAAATATCATGATGAACCACTTGTTTTGACTTTTGAAAAGCAGAAAGTTCAGCTTCCCATGTTCCCTTACGTGTGTGCCACAAAGATTTGTTCCCTGTTCCCTCCTTGTATTAAAAATGGCAGGTTTTTCAATTAAACTAAAAGGGAAAAAACCAAACCAACAGCTTATTCTTTGCACATACTTAATACAACATTTATTCTGCCTCTTTCTCCCTCCCTTAGTTGTGGCTTGGCTCCCCTTGAGCTTGTAAGAAAGTTTTAGAATCTCAGCTCCTTGAGAAAAAATATTTTGGCAAAGCAATCCTAAAAGCTTTAAAAAAAAATAAGAAAAAATCACAAGTTTAAAACCACTGAGTTTAAATTCTGAACCATTACCAAGATCTTACTTATTCTGCAATCTCCGGGGGATGTTGTGAGGTTTAATTAGCTCTAGTTGGAAAATGCTTTGAAGAGGAAAGTGCCATAAAGGTGCCAAATACTGCTCCACTCATGTAGACCTAAAATGTTCAAATTATTACATCATAAAACAAATCATTTGAAAATTAATTCCTTTTCCTTGCCAGCTTGACTTCAAAGGGACCACAATTTCCCTACCAAGCTGGTAGGATCACACCACCCAAGCACTACAAGGTGGCCAAGTGCTGGCAATGACCAAAAACAAGAGTAGTTTGAACTTCGTGGCACCTTTGAGTCCTCCTTCTGAATTATTTAATCTTGGTGTGTCAGTCCTTGGGTGCCCTTGCACACTTGAGATTCAAGGCATTGTGACAGCAGGGACTTGGCTGCCTTTGTAAACGAAGAACAGGGAATCATTTCCCACTGTCTTCTAAGCAACTTGGCCCCAAGGTGTCTCTCAAGGAACATTTGGGCATTTGGCAAGCATTGCTTTTTTTTTGGATTTGATAAGGATTTCTACTATTTCCTTAGTATGCAGCACTGTCCCTGGGGGCTGGGGGGGAGTCTGTGCAGTAAAGCAATGAGCTGCACCACAGAAGCCCCTGTTTGTCCCATCGCTGCTGCAGGAGCAGATTGGCACTGCTCAAAGAACCACCACCAAAGGTAGCAGCACAAGTGGGTTTATTGAAGGAAGATGCTTTAAAAGTGAGGCTTAATGAAGTCCAATGGCAAGGATGACTTACTGCACAGAGCACATAATGATCCAGTGACTGATACAAGATTTTAATGCCCTGTGATATAAGGTTATGGGCAGCATCAGTCACTCACCAAAGACTTGCAGCTGGTTAAGAGGTCTCTCAACCTTGAGGAGCAACCTTGACAGGCATCCCAGCTCAAGGGGAGCTCACAGCCACACAGCCAGCTGCTTGCCAGGGAGAGCTCAAAACAGCTCCCTCAGGCTGTCATATTTATGGAATAAAGTAGTTGGCTCCTAGTCAAATTACATGTGATGGAAAAGGTAAGTATGAGTCTCCTTGTACCCACAACCTTTGTTCCTCGACCAGATTAGTCCTGGAAGAACCACCTGCTATTCATGTGTTAATTGCATGGTGGTGTTCTGGTTTGCAGGCTAGTACACATCAAAGCTCCCCCTGTCACCCTGTTCCTGTGTGGGTTTTCAAAGAACAGGCTGGAACTAGAGAAGTTCACGACCCAGTCACAGCCTAGACCTCTACATCCTTCAGAGCCTGAACCAAACTGCCACAGGTTTGGTCAAGCACCAAGTGTATCCCTCATGAAGAGCACCCACCAGCTGAAGCAGGGTGGGGAGCAGAGCAGCATCCACATGTACCAATAAATATCCCTGTGCCTCATCACGGTAACAAGTGCAGCCACTCCAAGGTGAAACAAGCTCCTACCAGCCAGTCTTCATCCAGCCTCCACACCAAGTCCTGCCTGGTGTCACCTGGCACCAGGGCTGTGTGCTGGCCATCTGCAACTTGTTTCCTGCAGAAATTCTTGAGAACAACCATCCCAGGAGTCCTGCAGGCTGCCAGAGCTGCCATGCCCCAGGCTGTACTGGGGAGGAGAGCAGTGAGCTGGGAATTACTGGGAATTCTCTCCGCCTGCAGCACAAGCTGTAGCTTGGACCAGCAGGACACTGAGGACCTGCAGTCCAGAGTGATCCCAGAACAAGGCTCTGGGGAGCTCAACAGTCAGGAGGAAACTTCCAGACACCAGTTTCTGACATATGCTGACACAATATCTTTCCTGCAGAAACAGCCTCTGGCTCTTGTGGGACTCACCTAAAGTCCACACCACCCTGGTCCACTATTTATTCAGCCCTGGGTGTTCAATCTCCATTATCTGCAACACTTGATAATGAGATAATTTCTGGGTTGACTTTAGCTTTGGGCTTCAGACAGAAGCTCCTCTATTTTGCATCCATAAGCCTACAAATCAAAGCATTTCAGCAAAAGACTGCACTACTCACAAGCTGAAATATGAAGCCTCCTTCCCTGTATTCAACCTGGCTTTGTTTGCAACAACACTCATATCTCAGACCAAAGAGACCATAAAAGATCAGCCACGTATTTCCAGCCTTGCTTATTCCATTATGGTCAACTCCATTACTTTCACAGGGAGGAAAAAAAGGGGTATCCATCATTTTTACCAACTTGTTTTTAAACGGTTCTTTAAAGAACACTGGGAAAAGAAGAATATTCTATTATAAGGAAAAAACAAACAAACAAAACCAGAATAAACTTTAGGGCAGTTTCTGACTCCATAAAGAGTTACTTGACAGACTCAGAGGAGTAGTCTGAGATCTTAGATCAAGACCAGTAAAACTGAGCTGAATGCTTAACTCCCTCCTTGAGCTGTCAGTAAACTCTCCACTGACCCCACTCTCAGTTCTGCAGAGATAGAAGAATGTTTTCTGTAATCACAAAGAACAATTATTGCCATTTCAGGTCGTACTCTGCTCTCAGCCTCCCCCAGGTAAGCCAGTCTCATCCTCCCTTGCTTTGTCAGATAGAAGAAAACCAGAACTCATCAATTTAGAGAAAAGCAGAACCAAGTCCCAAGGCCTAAACACTAAGGGCCACTGCAACAGGTCCCCCTTGATCACTGCAAAATGGTAACATATCCACTGTGACTGGGATTTGAAGAGCACATGATACCAAACTGCACCCCCACCAGCCCCCTGGAGTTGTCCTGTCAGGGCAAGACTCACTTACTCAGCACGAACTGCCTGAAGAGCACAAAGCTATTCAAAGCTCTGTGGTTACATTAAAGCAAGCAGAAAGTACAGTGGGTCAAAAGCACGTCTTGCAGAAATTTAAAAGCAGAACAGGAGAAAAAAACCCACCCAACTCTCTACATCCTGTACATCTGGCCCCATGTTCTTAGCAGGGAAGATGCAAAATTACAACTATAGAAAGAAAACAGAACTCTGGTCAAGCAGGATACACATTACATGGCTGAGGCATTAAGAAGCATTTTTAGGGAAAGGCTGGGGATGGATTAAGAGTGTGGGGTGCAGAGTTATCTGGTTTCTGTCCTCCAGGTAAATCACTGCCTTTTCCATCCCCACAAGAACACAGGAACAGCAGGAAGGAAGGTTCCTAGGGACTGGGAAAAATGCCCAAACAAGAGCTGTGCTTTGCTACTCAAAATGGCACCTCAGCCCTCCAAAAAACCACAAATCCTAGAGACAAGGACGTTCATTTATCAATCAAAAGCAGCACTGGTAAATAATTTATATTAAAAATAATAAAAAGAAGATACTGACACATTTTGGGGTAGAAGAAAAGTCACCCTCTGGGCCCACATGCGCTTGTTTTATTTACATATCCACAAATACCATGAAACACCATCCCAGCCCCCCCACTAGCAGCATGGTGACATGAATCCCATAGATGAGCAGTTCATTCATGAGGCTGAAGTCCACCCGCCTTCGCCCCAGCAAGAGGAGGATGATGGAGAGTTTGTACTGGAAACGCAGAAAGATCCGGATGCCAAGGTACTGAAGGCAAAACAAGAGAGAGAGTGCCACCCAGAGGATGGAGGTAAAGAGGCTGCAGCTGAAGTACAGCAGGAAACGGATGAATCCGTACATCCACCGGGATTTGAGATAGATGTCGAAGTTGTTGTACTTGGTGCGCACCAGGTGGGAGGTCCGGACGGGCCCGCAGGCGGAATGGAGGCAGGTGGTGTGGGGGCCGTGGAACGAGCGGACCCGCCGGGGAATGGGGATCACAGGCATCAGGCACCCCACCCGTCACCCAGTCCCAGGGCAGGAGGCACAGGGCACATATCAAACATTAGCCATTGACACGGAAAAGAGCCGACAGCCTGGGAACTCTTGGCTGAATTTCCAGGACCTGCGGGAAGGCAGAGAAGGAGAACACGTTGAAGTAGCCCCAGCAGGACAGGTGGGTACTCTGGGGGGTCACTTACAGCTGCTGCAAAACCCAACTCCTTCACTTCACACAACCTTGCTCACTGTTTACCAGGCAGACGTATGGATATACAAGTCAGATTCCCAACAGCTCCCTGGCAGCATCCAACACCAACACTAGTCATAACCTCTGACAAGCTCTGCAGGGCCAGGGAAGCTCAGAACCTTGTTCTGGAATGACCCTGACTCGTTCACAGATCCTTCTTAATCAACCATCCTGCAACAGTCCAACCACCCAAGTAGCAACATTAATGTATCTGCTTGCACATACATTTCTTTTAAAGACAAAAAGTTCTCCAAACACTTCTGCAAGTGAATTCTCCAGCCCAGACACGGCACTGATGCCAGATTTCTGCTCCTTTCAAAACTTGGCAAAGCTTCACCAAATAAACAAACTGAAAATAATGGAAGGCCCTGCAAGAACAATGAGGCAACTCGTGTTTTTCACACCCTACAGGATGTACCTCCCCCTGCTCAGCTGGGCCTTGAGGTCTCCCTGTCAGTGCATCCCAGGGCCAGGCAGCCTTTCAAAGGCATCTACCGAGATAAGTGAAGTATTTTGATCTTCTGGAGTGTTTAGAACTTATAATCTTAACATCCTTCCACACTCCTATTGTTGTTATGTGAGTGATGAGCAGTGGCCTGTTAGCTGCTCCCTGCTTCACCCCAGGCTTATGGTGTGCCAAATTCCGGGAATTATGAACGGACAATGTGCTCAGCAGATAATGCTGAGAACAACAGGGACTTCTCCAGGCTCCTCACATGGCCGGGGGTCAGACCCAGGCACTGGGCAGATCCTCCTTTTGTTCAACCAGAAATTCTGTTACTCTTTAAGAAATAATTTTAAAGTGACTTCAAGGATTTTTTATTACTTCATTACTAACAAAACTAAATGCAGAGTAAATGATGTGGCTGCAGGACGTCCTACTTTGGTGTCAAAAACCTGGAGAAGAGACTGGGGAAGTCTCTTCCCTGCCTCAAATGACATGCAAAAGGGAAGTGCAGTTCTGATCTCTCCTGCTTGGCCCCTGGTTCCAAGTCCTTTTTGCCATTACAGAAATGTGCAGCCAGCCTGCTGGCTCTGCACAAACCAGGGGCTAATAAAAAGGAGCATGGGTTACCTTATGAGCAAGGAATTTGGGAAATTGAGGTCTGTTCTCAATTATCAAAGACACCCATAATTTGAAGTGCCTCTTTGCCCTAATGTCCTGTCCATAGAAAGGAAATCCTGAGCAGCTGGGCAGTGTGTCACAAGGATGTATTTTGCAGGACACGTGCTCAGATCCTAAACCAGCTCAGCTCCAGAGCCTGACTCCTTGTGAGCAGCAGCAGCTTGTTCCCACTTGCTGTGCCCACCAGACACATGAAGAGCCCTGGGCAGGTTCATGCTCCTCTGACAAACTCAGATACCAGCACTGGAACAGCCAGGAGAGAGAGGCACTGTGAGAATAAAAGAAACTTTCTGAAAGATTACATTTTCAATGGTGCTGCCATCCACTCAGCAGGAGGTCGGGGATCTGGAAGCCACTTAATCCTTGTCACAGCAAAGTGAAGCTTTCCTGGGACACCTGGCCTTCTAGGAAGAGTGAAAGAAACTGCTAAGGTGCTTCACAGACTCACAACACTCTACACAAGAGTTGATCTAAAAGATAAAACGAGAGAGTAAGTTTCAATTTGCTCGTTTTATGGTATGAAAAAGAGCTCAGAATTACAAGGCCCCTCCCCAAGCATCAATGTTTTAATCCCACAATGATTCTAAAAAGAACCACATGCTCAATAATGCAGCTGGAAAGAGTCACCCAGCTCAACACTACACAGAGACAGGAAAGGGCAAATCAGATAAAGAACTGTCCTCAGTCACCTCCTCCTATCCCAGGGCCACCACTGCTCACCCAGGGAGCAGGACACACAGCACACACAGCCAACATTTCCCAACAGGGCCTGGAGGAGCAAGCCCCAAACCTGGATGTTGGCTCGTGATCCAGAAACAGATCTGGACACCCACTCCTCAAAATCATTTTTCTAGGCCTTTCCCATTGCTGGGAGGCTGGAAAACCCAGTTGGTCTCTTCTGGGCATCACCCTACAGCTGAAAGGATTCCAGCTCTTTAAAGGCCAGGTAACTCCTTGCCCACATGTCACATCAACAACAGCCTCATCAGGAAGCTAAAAATCTGAGTAGCTCTTCACTCTGACGAGTTTTCATTCCCTCTCCTTTAAAAATGGAGTCTGTGGTGAGAAAGCCACCACAGGACAGTGCTGCTTGACCGGCCAGAGGCTCCAGAAAAGCTCTGGGGCTGCTCAGGGTCCGGGTAATTCCTGGAGGAGGGAAGACAGAAAGAGGACAACGATCTCAGCTGACGGGGCCACCAGGCAGGGCCGGCGGGACCGGCGCGTTCCAGGAGGAGCCCAACAAGGTGAGGGGCAATGACAAAGGAAGGTTAGCGCTGATAAATGACAGCGGGGAGCACCGGAAGGAGGGGAAATCCGAACTCCTCCTACATCCTACCAGATCCTAAATTAAACCCCACCGGCCTGGGGAAGGAACGGGCGGCAGGAAGCTCAGCCGGGCCTCCCCC